TATTTTCAATTTCAATTTCAATAACAAATTTTATTGAATCCCGTAATCACAAAAAACAAAATAACAAGTGCGTATTGTACTCTACTTTTTGGAAGAGGATTCACATTCAACTTTTTTAGCTCATCGTATTTATCCTACTTGATCAATTTAGAGGAGAAATAACTTTGTGGTTTGCCATTCAAACGACCAAAACCAATGACCAATGCAACCTGAAATTTCAAAACGATAACCAATGATCAATAAAAAAACACATTCACTCCAAAACATATAACTCGAAGATCTTAATGAAGAGTTTACATGAACATAAATTGAAGATTAAACAATAAACGGAACCCTATATATTCTCATGATAATCATTAAAAAGACAAATCACACAAATTTTAACATTACTTGCAATATCAAAAGATTATAAGATTTTGCAAATAATTTAATACAAATAGTAAATTACATAGAAACTGAAATAAAGAAGCAAAACGTTACTTCAACTAAGTGAAGATCTATGGTATCCTTACCCTCAATCTCCCTAGTCATTCTTAATGCAAGCAAACTTAATACATTTAGGTTATCATTACATAAATTAAAGATTGAACAACAAATGAGACCCTAAACTCATGATAATCAAGAGAAATTAAGTGAAATCGTCCAAAATGTAACATTTACTGCAATATCCAACAAATTAAACAGTGAGACAAGCATTAAAATAATTAAAATCAACTATTGGTTAAACAAATGAAATCAAGGAAACGAAGAGTATACCAAAGAGAGGCTCCTAGTATCAGACTAAAGACCAAACCATGTTGTCATCAAATTGAAGGATTCAATCTCGTTTGCCTTAACTTTTTTGGTTGGATTTAGAATATATATATATAAATCCTTCTTTAATTAGTAGATTTTAGATGGAGATTGAAAAGACACAAGGAAAACCGTTGAGAAAACGAAAGGGTTAATATTAATGTAAAATTAATGAAAATAATGAAAATAAGAGAAAAAACAAAAGGAAAATAGAGCATAAATTAAGGAGAAAGAAGAAAGGAAGGATTCTAACAATTTGATGATGCCACGTAATCCAACAAGGATTCTGCTTTATATATAGATATAGATTCTTTTTTCCTTATTTTAACAAATTATAAACGGGGTAGCCTATTGTGTTTGAAATTGAAATTAAATTAAAAGAGAACTCGTTAGGATTGTCTCAGTTGCGGTTGTTCGATAGGTATTTGTCGTACGAGATCTATTTTTTTCTTGTGTTTTCATATATGAAACTTTTTCCTCTATTCTTTTAGCAGCTCAATTGTTTCTCTCTTGTTGCAGCTTATTGAGTATGGATCTTTACGATGATAAATTCTGATCTTTTGTTGAATGTCGAGTAGAAATTGAACTTATCTATATATGTTTATGTCATTGTTCTTCACCGTAAATATAACCATGTGTAAAAGCTACTTGGGTATGATATTTGGGATTCTGTTTGATGGGAGTTTCGTTGTGATTCTTCATGGAGGAAAGCAGAGAGACCTTTGTTGCCATCATTGACGTGGTTGAAGAAGGAAACAATCAAACCTAAAACTATTCCCAAAACAGATAAAGTTGAAAAATAAGAAGATCATTGTCTTACCAAATTGCTTACTTTTTGAAATCCTCTCATTACCCTCTATAGAAGTGCCATTAGAAGCATCGATGGCCAGGAATCGTCTTTACAAAGAAGAAAAAAGAAAATGGTTTGGTGGGGAATTAGATCGAGGGAGCAGGGGTAAATAATGGAAAATGGGACGCTGACCATAGTAAGCATCACTCTTATCTGAGACAGTCAGACAGATGTACGGTCAACATCAAGTCCCACTAAGAGGTGGCGTTTATTTTAGTAAACACCCAATCTCTTATTTTGGAAAGAGCTCTTACCTGATATATTCGGTAGTAGGAGGCTTGTAAACATGGTCTAATACTTTGAAATCATCATCTAACTACAAAATAACCATTAGTTTGAAGAACAATATGAGACCTGTAATTACTGCTAAACTTTAACAAACCCACAACTGAACCCGAACGTGTTTGTCCTCTTTTCAAACACTCTCGAGGTTTTTGTTATAATTTACAGGGAGGCTTGACGAGTCTTGTTGATACAAGCTTAAACTCTGGTTGAAAAAGATTCGAGCTTGATTCAAAAAGCCAAATAACTCAAAAACATCCATCATAACTAAATATTATCTATCAAAACTTATTCAATAAAAAAGGTGCAATTCAATCTTTTTTGTAAGGGTATCCGGGCCAAAGCCCGACTAATCCCCGGCAATTTTGGAGGCTAAACATGGCCCCACTTAAATGTCGTCAACACTCCCCTCCCAGGGCTCGAACTTGGGTTCATGACTATGTCATGCCCAAGCCTTTACCACTAGGCTGGAAGGTCTTTGACGCAATTCAATCTTAACCAACACATTAACAGAGTTGAGTTCGAGTCGAATTCTTACATTTGAGTATGTTTTTTTTATTCAAACTCGGTTAAAGTTTGTTTCAATCGAGTTAAAATGATTCAAAAAAATCTCAACTTATTTGGATTTTTTTTTGTTACGTTGTATTTCTTGTAAATGTAATATATTGGAAGATCTTGGTCTTGTTTCACATGGTAAGTTGTTTTTATAATATTTTGCTTAATACATAAAATTCTGTGTTAGTATTTTAGTAAACTTTTTTTAAGTATCGATATATTTATATATACTAGAAGGGTACTCGAGCAATGCAGCGAGATACATTTTGATTTTAATATTTCATTTTATTCTTTATCTCAGTTGACGTTATAGTATGGTTTTATATGATTTTGAAAAGACGATAATGTTTTTATTTTTGAGTAAAATTTAAATTTGAAGATATCATAAAAATTTGACAAAAATATATCGATATGAGTATCAAATTAACTATTTAAAATTCCTATTTTTTATGTAATTTTTGAATTCAAATTTTTAATTATAATTTAATTTAAGTTGAAATACGAAGTAATTTATATTTGGTTTAATAATATAA